CCTAAACATTAAACCCTAAACCCCGACATGGCTATGCTGTGCTTGTACTGACAAACTTGGCCATACCCACAGCATTCCAGCCTTCCGAGTCTTTGTCACAGCCCCCAGCGGTTTGACCTCGTCGGTGCGCAACAAGAATCGCTTGTGGGTCTACGGGTTTCGAGACCGTCTGCACCGTGTCTTCTTTTTGCAGTCAGCTACAGTCAGCCATGCTTCTGAGCAGCACCATGGTTCTGGGGAGTATGCCAATGCAACAGATCTTGCACGAGATTGTGCTGCTAAGGCTTCTAGGGATGGTACAAATCAGAAGTATCATCACCCGTACTCCCAAGAACGTGCGGCTACAGTCAGCCTTGGTTTTGGGCAGCACCATGGTTCTGGGGAGCATTCCACAGATCTTGCAGGAGATTGTGCTGCCTTACCAGCCTTGGCTGCTAAGGATGGTACTAATCAGCGCGTATCACCACCAGTACTCCCGAGAACGTGCGAGGTGTTAGGAGTGTCAGCGTGCAGCTGCCACAGACGATGTGGCTTGCCACTGTCAGAGTGCAGAATTCCAAACTGATGTGTACCAACTACGAGTCGGTGCCATGTGTATCTCGTCGATGGCGGGAGATGGGGGACTAAACATATATGCAAGAACCACGAGTGACTAGCATGAGTGTAGTGTAACATGGAGTAGCTTTAAGGTTCGTGGCAGCCCAAGAAAAGAGGCCTCTGACAATAGGGACCTCAGCGTGGGCTGCACAACAGCGGGCTGCTGCTCGCACACTCGAAAATCTATCTTTCTAATCTACAGCCTAGCCTAGCCGCTGGCGGTGTCCTTGTCCTTGTTCTTCGCCTTGTCTAGCATTGCTTGCAAAGCAAGGCTAAGTCCACCTGTTCCCCCCTGGCTGCCTGCGGCGCCGGTGCCGGTGCCGGCTCCCACACCAGAGCCCTCGTCCTTCTTGGGCTTCTTGGTCTCCGTCTGTCCGCCCTGATTCTCATTATCCTTGCGCTTCTTGGCTGCCGCCGCGGCCTCCGCTTTGTTCTTTTTCTCCTCCTCCGCTTTGCGCTTGGTCTCCTCCTTGGCCTTCTGCTCGATGTTTTTGTCAGCCAGCGTAGGTGCATAGAGTCCGGACCCCGGATTGGACAAGGCGGCAAGCACCTCTTTCATGACAGTCTTCTCGATGTACTCCATGTGCTCCTGTGTGCATGCTATGCCCACATACCCAAGACGGTTGCACACTGCCCAAGCGGCCAGGCGTCCTGATCCGGGTGTCACGTCGATGATATGGGCGGCACTGGTGGCGTGCATCGCGGACTCCCACAGCGTCACGGGCATCTCATGGTAGACCACTGGCTGCAAAACTGTGGGAGCCAGCGTCTTGTGGCTTCCGCGGCCACTCCCAACGTCTGGGAGTTCAATCTCTTCCTCATCCACAGCACCGGTCTCTGCCGCAATCTCGTCCTTGTCTTCGGCCGCGCCTTCATCATCCGTCTCGCCTGTTGCCGTCTTCCCGCCTACTGCAGCTCGTCTCCTGCCCCACAGGTGCTTCTTGTCCCCGTAGGGAATCGAGGGAAGGCTCTTCCAAGGCTCCAGGGTGAACGGACCCATGAGATCGAAGGCATTGGTTCCTGTGCAGGGCATGCTTCCACGTAGCAGGGTTCAGGGTTGCGTCTTGAACTCAGAGATGGGGTTTAATTCTTAGCTAGGGTGTTCAGTGTACAGCCTGGCCTTGACAGTGCTTGTGGGCTTTCACCGGGATATCCGTGCCCGCATCGAACCACCAAAACATCTTCTGCGAGCACTTCAGGGACGCCAAAGCTTTCCTGGAGGTGCGAACCCGCCGGGTCTGCACGGACTCCGGGGTAAAGGTAGCTGTGATCTCACGCCACATGATGTTGCTTCCACGAGACTTGGAACGACCCACGCCCGGACCAACACCGATGAGCTTGGACAGGAAGCTGTTGTTCGTGCGCCCTCCGTTCAGGCAAATCACAATCTCGCCAGGGGCCATTGTCGTCCAGGCCGACACTCCGCGACGTGCAAGCCCAATAGCCTCGAAGATCTTTTTCAGGATGGCCTGCTGAATCGGGGGTCGGCGGATGTGGGGGGCGGTGATTGCCTCCCCCCACGCATTCACGTCCAGCGCAATGATCAGATTCCCACTCATGCTCGCGGTGTCCACTTGCACCAGCTTGTGCTTCTTGAGCGCGGACGCCAGGGCTCCAGATGTTTTCTTGTCCTCCTCAGACTCAAGCACGAGGTAGGAGGACATGATCCGCTTGGCGTGAGCCAGGCGCTTGCTCTCCAGATCCATGCCTTCCGCCATGGCCTCGTCCATGTCGGAAGTTCTGGACGGGCCTGCTCCGGACGGGTTCGGAATGTTCGGTGGCTGGTCCGGCTCGGAATCGCCTCCCTGAGACTTCGATGCATCGTTGATGGCCTTGAGCTCCTCCTTCAGGCAAGCGTCGATCTCCTGAATCTTCTCCTTGAAGGGAGAATACTCTTCAAGCAGCTCCTGCCCGCTTTTGCCATGTTTAATGCCAAGGCGGACGGTGCTCTCCTCATTCGTGTCTACGCTGAAAGAGGATATCTCCAGAAGTTCCAGTGTCAGCAGAGCCGACTTGGGCCAAGTTGCTTGCCAACTCACATCGATGTTCTCTTGCTCCTCCTCCTCCACCGGTCGCAACAGCTTCATGAACGAATCTCTGCTGGCAAAGACTTCACGCAGCTTGGACTTGCATTCGGACAGAATGTTCCTGGCATCCAGGAAAGGGCCCAGTAGCCATATCTTCATCTCGCGCTGCTTCAGGAGCACGAGGGCATGTTGCTTGGTGCCTGCAGTCGCAAGATTTCGCAGGCTGAAATCGTGCAATGTCCCTGCCCTGAATCGGTGGTAGGCCGCGCCCAGCAACCACTCCAACTTGGACACGTTGTCCTTGCACAGCCTGCACATCTCCTGGAGCTTGTAGACGCCCGCAAAAGGAGAGCTGTCCAGGAAGTCCTGTTCGGCGGCCAAAACGATCTGGCGCAAGGCCTCGTGTGTGAGCATCTTTTCATACACATGGATGCAGGCCTTGATCGTTCCAGGCTTGGTGCGGTCCTTGTCATCCTGACTGTTTCCACCGCCGCTGCGACGATTCACTTGAATCAAGTTCTTGCCATACAACGTGGCGACGTCGTCCGCGCTCAGCGCGCCCGTGTAGACCTCCTTCCTGACCTGCGCACGGGCTTCGTGAAGGGAGAGCCTTGTACTATAAAAAAAAGAGTTTGGCTTAGGGTCTTGGGTTTCGCGTTTTCAGGCTGAGAGTTCAGGGAGGTTACCAGGCCGTCAGGGTTAGTGTTTATTACGCAAAACATGGCCCCGTCGGTTACCTTGGGCTCTAGTCTTACAACCTGGATCAAAGACTGTTTGTTACTGCTAAGAAGTCCTGGCCTTGAAATTCCACACATCGAAGATCATTTGGGTCGTCTTGTGGGTGATGGCACGGTGGTCGGCCTCGGCTTTGAAGCGCTTGTTGGTCGTGTAGAAGTAGACCTCCTGCTCCGTGGCGAGGTGCACAAAGTTGGCGGGGCAGGATAGTAGCACCCTCTTCCATTCCAGCAGCTGAGAGTCCGGTGCACCCGTGAGGATGGCTTCGTGGACGGCCATGATGACGGCATGCTGCTGCCTCAGCATGGTTGGCTTGGGAGGGCTTCCGTTTTCTGTTAGGGGAGAAAGTGTGGAGTTGTTCTTACCACGTTCTGGGCTGGATGCATTCGGGGCACTCTTCCGGAGAGCATCTGCGCCATCTCATGTCTGCCGGGCCAGGAAAGACAAATTCCAGACGATCCTCCAAAATCTTGGGCCCCCTTTTCAACAGACGCTGGACAAGGTCTGCAACGGCTTTAGCCATGATAGGAACGCCCGGCGTGATGGATTCTAGAGGATTGCCCCATAGAAGGTTCACGCCACAGAAGTATTCCGAACCACTCTCGCGCGACAGCTTCATCTGTTCGCGATCCAGCGGCGCCAGGAACCCTGCCAGATCATCCTTATCCGCAGGAACCAGGGGCAAGGGGTCCATCTGGTCGATGTGCGGTCCGAACAAGGGATGGGCCTTGATCTCGTTGATAGATGCTTCGATCATCTTGAAGTGTTCGATGTTGGGGTCAAACGACGATGGCGGAAGATCTCCGAGGCCTGGGGCATCGATGTCCTTCTTCGCGGGGATCGCCTTCTTTGAAGGAGGCATGGTCGGGGACACTGCCTTGTCTTCCGGAAGGGAGTCTTTGCACTTGAGCTCTGCTAGGGCTGCGTGCATCACAGGAGTTCCCTCCTATTGTCCGTGCAGTTCGCATCTCTAGATCTACACGTATGCAATGGCCGTGGATACTGAATGAAGCTCGCAGCTCTAGATCTACACGTATATGGCCGTGGATACTGAATGAGCACCGTGAGGTCTCCTGAATGTCAAGGGCGCGGCGCGCGACTGAGCATCCAGCGAGGCCTGCAGCTTTTTGGCTACTCCTCTTGGAGGATAAAGACTTCCACGACTAGTAGCGTAGTGATCTACGGTATTGATTGCACCCTTGAACATTGTACGCTACTGGATCAACATCTGAAAGGATCAAAGCTCACAGCGAGGTTAGTTGTACGCTACTAACCAGGGCATCTTGCGTTCGGAAACTTTATGACACCGCCCCTGAACCCTTGCCTCCGACACAATAGGACGAGGATGATGATTGCTGCGCAGTGCTCTGAACAGGTTAACATTCTGACATTCTGCATATATGCAGGATGATGGTGATGGTGATGATGAAGATGATG